GGGCTGGAGGACTCGGGGGTCGTGGGGGCAGGGCCGCTGCAGCTCTGGCAGCAGGCAAGCGCCTGGGGTTTGGGGTGGGGGGAGAATGGGGTTTTGGGTTGTGGGTTTAGGGCTGAGGGTGCAGGGTGCGATGGGAAGGGGCGGACGGTCACTTGGGGCGCGTGTCGGCGCGGGGCCAGGGCCAGGCCACGGGGGAGGGGTTTCCACGCCGGCGGCCATGGCCGGCGGTGGCGGCATTTTGGGGACGGCCGACTCGCGCAGGCAGGCCGGAAAGATGACGGGCTGCGGCCTTTGCCCATCGAGCAACCCTGAAGCCTGGACCCTTGCATACGCGATCAAAAGGGCAGCGGGGAAAGCAGGCGCCCCACCTGCGTGGCGGAGGACGTCCCCAAAGGACGCGTCGAATCCCTTGTCGCCCGAAACAAACAGCCGCAGCCCCGCGAGCAGCGGCGCCGCCCGCAGCCCCGGCCGCGCCGGCTGCAGCACGTGCGCCGCCGCGCCGCGCTCCGGGTCGAGCAGCCGCCCCGCGGCGCCGCAGGCGCGCAGCCAGTCGGCAGACAGCACGGCGCAGCCGCGGGCGACGGCGAACATGTACTTGGATGTGAAGTGCTGGGCTCCTGCAACCGCCACATCCACATCCACAGCCTCGAGCGCCGCGCCCCCACTACTGCCGCCTCCCCCGCCGCCGCCGCCGCTCTCGCGGCGCGCACGCCGGGCCGGCTTCTGCTGCTGCTGCTGCTGCTGCTGCTGCTGCGCGCGCGGCTCCTGCGGCGGCGCAGGGGGTTCCCTCAGAAGGTCTGCCCCCAGCTCCCGCGCCAGCCGCTCCGCCTGCCCCTTCTCCGCCGCACCCTTGAACCCTGTCAGCAGCAACGTCAGGCCCGCCAGCGGCCCGACGCGCCGCGGCGCTGCAGTGCCGCCGGCCGCTTCAGCTGCGACCGCCGCCGCGTGGCGGCGCGCCTTGGCGCGGAGGAAGCTGAAGAGCCGCTGTCCGGGCTGCTGCGTGCGCCACGCCTGCTCATCGCCCCCGGGCTCGGCGGGAGGCTCGTGGCCCCCTCCTGCGCGCCGCTGATGCTGCCTGTCCGGCTGCCGCTCCGAGGCCGCCGCGAGAACGGCGCCGCGCCGCGGGGGCGAGGCGTCTTCCGGCTCGTCTTTGACCTCTGGCGCGGCGCCCACCTCCCCAGCCGCCGGGCGGCAGGACAGGCATCCAATCGCCGCGAAGCGGCAGCGCGAGCAGCCCAGCTTGCGAACTGGCGATGGCACCGACCTGCCCCCGGCCCCGCCTCTGCCCCTGCCGCGCCCCCTCCCGCCGGCGGCAGCAGCCGGCGACGTCGCGGCCTCCTGGGCGCCGCCGCGGCCGCGGCCGCGCCCGCGTGCCCTGCCTGTGCCCCTGCCGCGGCGGCCCGAGCTGCGCAGCACTCGCGGCGCCTCCGCCGCCTCGCCGCGCGTCACCGGAGCCGGTGCGGCCTCCGCACCACCATTGCCCTCCAGCAGCCTGCGCCGCTTGACCCCTTTGCCGCCGCCGCCGCCGCCGCCGCCGCCGCGCACCTCTGGCGGCGGCAAGGCCGCCAAGCCCCCGGGGCCGCCGCTGCGCCGCCGGAGAAGGTCGGGCGAGGCACCCCGGCCGCCGCCCCAGCGGCGCGGCGCGGCGGAGAGGCCTGCGCCGCCGCCATCGCGCCCGAGCCGGCGCCGCTGCCGCGCCTCCTCCTCCTCCTCCTCCTCCTCCTCCCCCACTTGCTCAGTGGCAGCCTCGTCGCTGTCTGCTGCCATATCTTCCTCTTCCTCTTTCTCCTCCTCCGCCTCACCCTCCTCATCCTCCGCCTCCTCGCCTTCCTCGTCCCCCTCCTCGCTCGCCCCGCAGCTGGCAGCAGCAGGGTACCCCTGGCTCTCCGCCAGCATCCTGCGCGCGAGGGCGGATGAGCGGAGCATCGGTCGGCAGTAAGCAGTTACCCACCGCGGCGCCGCCCCGCCGGCGGGCGTCCAGCCGCTGCCGCTGGCCCCACGCGCCGCGGGGCGCGCCGCGCTTCCACGGCCCGCTCCTGGGGGCCCCAGCGCCCCGAGGCGCTGCTGGTGCTGCCAGCAGGCGCGCACTGTTTTCTATGCAGCTCCGCTGAGGGTCGCAGGAAGGCAGCAGCGGATTTCGTGCTCACGCATCCGCTCTTGCAGCAAGTGCACCCGCGCCGCCCCACCTCAAAGGCTTCTTGACGCGCCGCCGGCGCCGTCGCTCGCCGCCGCCATCGCCGCCGTCGCCCTCAACACCACCGCTCTCTCGCCCGCCCTCGCCCTCCTCACCTTCGCTGCTGCTGCTGCTGCCGCCGCCGTCGCGAGCCCGCTTGCCGCCTGCCCGGGCGGCCTGCTGCTGCTGCTGCTGCTGCTGCTGCTGCTGCTGCTGCTGCTGCTGCTGCTGCCAGGACAGCCCCGGCTCTCCGTCCTCATCCCCACTGCTGCTGTCGATCCGCCGCCGCGAGCGGCCGCCGCCGCCGCCGCCGGCACTGCGGCTGCGCGGCCACTCCAGCGGCTGCGCCTGGCTGTCAAACGGCTCGCCCTGCGCCGCCGCGGCACCCGCCTCTGCGGCCGCCGCCGCCCCAGGAAAGAGCTGGGACGCCGTCGGCGCGTGGCCGGCGCCCGGCGGGACGCCAAACGTGAAGCTGCCGCCGCTGTCCTGAGT